TATCACGTAGACTACACCACTGGGTAGAACGACCTTTCAAAGGTCAGAGTTAGTAGGTGAGAGAAGAGGCAGCCTGAAGGACGCTGCCGATGGATGACATTCAACTAAGGACTGAGCTGCATACAAAGGAGACTGAAGGAAAAAAGAAAGAGAAATAAAAAAGACATGCACGTCTGCTGCCGGCCTGTCTTTCATGTTAATTAGCTTCTGTATGGTGAATGAGTGTGTGTGAAGGACATTTCTTATAAGAGTTTGCATCGGGAATATGTTAAACTCTTCTCTTCTTTCAAGGCTCTCAGCTTTGATCACAGAAACAAAACAGGTAAAGAGAGAACATAATAATTCTGGTTGCTGACTATAATACAGTTGGTTTGGAAGACTGGCCTGCAAACTTGTACACATTTAGTGGTTCAATACGAAAATCAGCATTTGGTTCCTTTTAAATGGCAGCAGAACAGCCGATTCTCATGGTATTTGGTCGTTTGAACTTTGGTCTCTGTCGTCATGGCAACTACTCATCCACTTACACAGGGAAGTCTTTAATCGGCTTTGATTGGCTTGGGGCGGATTAAGATAGTGTGTTGTGTTGAGGCGCAAGCTGCAACTACAACATAACTGGAGATGCTTGAGGCCTTGACAGTCTTGGGCCCCATTACTGTAGGCCTACATCCTGCTGGGATGTTCTCAATGAAACTGGACAGCTGCAGCCTAGATGGAGAAGCCTGGACAATGAAAAAGGAGGTGAAAAAAAAGACAACTGTAGAGCCAAAGAATAAGGCAGACTCACCTCTCCTGTGACCAAGTATTTGCCATCAGGGGAGAAGGACAGGGCTGTGATGGTCTTTCTGTGAAAAATGACAGCTCAGAGTGAGTCAGGTAGTTTTTACAGTTTATTGTTTAAATGCAGATTGTACTCGTGTTCAACTCACCTTGACGTGATAATGTGATGCTGTCTGTTCTTTTTGGGGTTCAGCAAGACGACCACACACCTACACAAGGAATGATATTATCACACATTACATTCATTTACATAACATTCACCATACGAGTTATGTTTGCAGACATATCTCAACTGAAAACATGCACTCCTTGTACTGAGGTAATAGTTTGGTGTAAGTGGAAAATTTCTATTGCCAATGTTCAAGTGTTTTTGTGTCTATTTAGTCAAGGTGTTCGCAAGAAATGCAAACACTTGTCCAACACGTTTTCAGATCAGCAAATGAATAATTGAACTCTCTTTTCACAGTGCATACTTGCGGCAAAGCTTACAGATGCTTACTGATTAGACACTATGGCCTTATAAACATCTAGACTCTGATGTAACACAGGAATTCATATAGCATTACTCTAATAGCAACTAATATGCTGAGAGTTAAGCCAAAGTTTATTCATCTCAGTTGATCTGCAATTGAACTTTATTCTGTGACCTGTTTAAGTATTTTCATGAAGATTACTTACATCAAGAAATACAATAATGCTGTTCTCTTTCATGCATTTACTCTTCTGGGCAGTCATTTCATAATATATTTATTAATTCTGAACACACTGAAGCACTGTGACAAAGCTGGATCATACAAGGTTGTCAGTTTGACATTTCTGAACAAAGTAGCATGAGACAGGTTAGCGCCACAGTCCCCAAATGTATGTGACCACATTTCAGGTGCACCAGTGGAAAGAAATCTGCAATTATTTAATATTTCAAAAGGGACAAACTCTTCTTAGCTTTCTTGCCAAGGGTTAAATGAAAGAACTGATGCCACTCCCATGTATTGGTGCTAAATATGAAGCGGGTTAGCTTAGCTAGCATAACGGCTTGTAACAGGAGGAAACAGCTAGCCTTGCTTGCCAAAAGTAACAACATTCACCTAATATGACACAGTATTACAAACAGGATATAATGTGTTAATTTATGAGCTTTAGAGGGTGCTGCTAGGTGGATTTTATTGCTTTTGAACAGAGAAAGGCTAGACGTTTCATCTATCATCTTTTGATGGGTCAATTTTACCACAAAGACAGACAGATGTATTTCCCCAAAAACTAAACTTTTAAGGAGAATATTCTGAAAAATGACTACAAAATATTAAATACAAACTGCATGGAAAGAGGAAATAAACTGTCATTGGTACTAAACGTATCATTACCCACCTTTGTATCAGTGTTTTGATTGGTGGGGATTTCAGTGCTACAAAGTAAAAGTCCTGTCTTGCTTCACAAAGTGTTTATGTTATATACTGCCTGTCCCCTGTGATCCATCCACCTTTCATGTGATTCTTTTCCATATTTAAATAATACAACCACAACAATATTGTTTCCTGCTAACTTCCTCTTGACTTCTTTTTTAAGAGCGGCACAAAGACCAATGATCCACCTGTTAGTGAGCTGTTCTTTAGCTCCGTGCCAGGAAACTGGGCTCCTGGTACCACAGCTTGTGCAGATTTAAACTGAGACAGCAGGTGGATTTCCAGACTGTGCACAATTTGGGAAGTATAAAGCTTGCTAAATGACAGTCAGACCCAGATATGCACACACACACACACAACTACACGCCCACATGTGTACACAGGAATGCCTGCACACACACACCAACGTTGCATTCTCTCTCACAGACACACAATGGCAAACATACACTCCTTGACAAAACAATACTCTAAGCAGCCATTGACCTTCTTAGTATTAATACAGCTTTGTCAGAAGATTTGAGAACAACACAAAAGAGGCTCAGTTTGCTGGGTGCTGCAGCTCTGGCCCCCCAAGCACCGCCACTGTAGATCTAAATCCTCCACTGTGCAGATTTTTTGAAAAATATAAAAATTGCACTGAGCAAGATGACACAACCAGGGTCACCGTTTGCACAGAATTAACAATACTACACAATTCTCTTTACATCACTGCATCACAGAGAGATCCTCCCTGAGGACGGGATAAAAAGAAGCTTTGGAGTTTCACTGACAAGAAAGCCCACAGAGCTCTCCTCCTCACTTCCTGTGAGATTGTGCAGAGATAACGCACGCAGTAATTTGCACACTGAGCATCTGCATGAGGTAGATATGATAAGGAAGTTGCAAGTTCATGGACTGTTAATAAGTCAAAGGTCAGATGTCGAGATATGGATGCTTACCCTGCAGGATAGGCCACTAGTCCAGATCGGGGGTCACAGGCCAGACCACTGTTTCCCGAAGCGGTGATTCCGAGCACCTTCTCCAACGTCACCTGGAGAGACGCAAAGCATTGATTTTTTTTTGTGTTGCTTGTTTGAGGATTTCATCACAGAGAGAAGTGAAAATAGATCTGACAGACGCAGGGATAAATGCTGAACTCCAGCAGTGATGTAACTAAGCACCATTGTCAATGAATCAAAGACAGAAATAGATTGGTATGGTTGAAACATGTGAAGACGAAGGTTCAACTAATGCCTCCTCTCAGTAGTTCTGCTGTTTCCAGTGTTTCCAGAAAACACTAACTTTCATTTCACTTTTAAGATACAAAAAAAAAAAACAATTATAACAATTATCTCCCTGGAATGTGATTATTCCGACATGTGACAAGATCTTAAATATTATTGATTTATAAAATGCAGGCCTGCAGTCTTTCCTCTGTGATAAACTATTCCATTGCATTGACGAGGTTCACGTGGAGCAGAGGTTTGTTGTCTTTGTCCCAAACATCAAAGGACAAGCTTGAAACCAAAATATATTATAAGTACTAGAATTATTTCATCTTTTGGCTATAAGAGATGAAAAGGATCAGATTTAACTTAGTTATTAAACTGTAGACGTGACAGAAGGCGAGTCCTGCTGTCTGTCTATCATGGGAATTATAAAGCAGCTGTTGGGTGTCATTGATTAGCCTGGACTGAGTAACATGGTGTCACGTGTGAAATATATTTCTAGTTTCTAGGCCCCTTTTATTAAACAGCTTTATTATTGGTTAATAAACGATTTACTAGCTTTAATATATTAATTATAAACCATTCTTAAGAACAAGTTGTGGGTTGTGAATAACCCATTTTGCTGGTGTCTATACTTTCTATTTGGTAATAATGCATATATAAATGTTAGTTATCCATTAATAAATGCTTAATAAAGTTGTTAATGAATAGATTTTCGGTCCAAACAGTCCACTTAAAACACTTTTTTCACACATCTCTGAAGCACAAGTAAATAATGTATTAACACGAATAAAGCCATTAGTTATACACACCCTTTATTGAGGGAGCCTTGTTATTCAGGTATACTGTTGTACCTGTAGCATTGTCTACATGCTCCCTATGATAATTCATGCATTAATATCTATGGTAGATTTATATTACACTACAAACACAAGGGCAGCCTAGATCATTGTCTACTCATGAAGTTGTTTTACTCAGACACTAAACCTGCACTTTAAAGAGGGGTTGATGTCACACATACCTTGCTGGAGAGACTCTCCGTCCTGTTCTTCTTGTGCTTGGCTGAGGGAGAACGCAGCAATTTCCTGATGCGACTTTTAATGGTGAATCCATCTCCTGGCATTGTGTGTGCGGCTCTGTGGCAGTGCTCTGTGGACTGCTGACCGTCCGCTGTGACAAGCCACCAGCAGGCGAGTGTGCATGCAGCAGGCTGAGGAAGGAGAATGAGTGCCTGTAATGAACCTCCCACCACCGGAGACTAACTGCAGAGGTTTACAAAGTCGGACAGTGTCCCCGCTGCCGGGACATGTGGACGTTAATCTCTTGAGTGGGTTTACTGTTCTGCAGTCTTCTGTCGCTTCACATCAAGCGCTTCTCCTGCAGCTTCCCACCACTTTTGGACTGATGTCGCCTTGTCTCAGAGCTTTGCACTGACAAGAGGGGGGGGGGATCAACCTCTCTTTAACAGTTTGCCTGCATGACATCACCAGTTTAATCTGCACTGGTCTCATGATTACATCAATGATTGCTTTTGTTGCTGTTGTACCTAATTGATTTGATGGGATTAGAAAAAGACAGGCCCTGAGACTGAATGGCGGATGTTTGGGTACTATAGCTCTTTGTTTGGCTGCTGATTGGGTGATAAAAGTTATACGTTCAGACGCATTAAGGCCCATCTCTGTTCTTTTATGTGCTCAAGTTAAAGTATATATCTGAGGTTTACAATACCTCATATAATGTTCAAAGAAATGATTTATTGTCTATTATTCATTATATAATTTTATTCATTATCACCTTAAGTCAGGTTGGGACATTATTTACATTTTGATAAGTTTAACGCATACAATCGTTTGCGTTGGACCACGTGGTTTCTACGGATAAACTTTCGTAAGAATAGACCACGCCCCGCGATGACACCGGACCAATCACAATCGAGATATATATACCTAGATGTAAATGTTCATTTACTCCCAATACATTTAATGCAATAAAATAATAATAATAATAATAATTCACCATTCACTCCCATTCGGGCTCTGGAGCTAACATAAAAGGTGAAGGACAAAATGTGAATATGACTTAAAATTATGAAGATGATTTATTATTATTATGAAGGTGATTAGCCTATACTACTCCCACACACAAGGCTTCAGCAGTCTGAGAAAGTCAGATCAACGGACATCTTCCAAAGCTGCAGTGTGTTTAGCATTATAGTCTGTCTCATATTAGCTTCAGATAAACGGATTATATGTTTGCACAAAACAAGGACTGTAGATTTTGTCCCCCATCGCCAGTTAACATCAAATGATGCAGTAACTTAACTCATAATCCTCGTCTGGACAGCAAAATTACATTTGCGTAAATCATCCTGGAGTTAATATTATAAGTCTTTCATTTTAAAAACATAAAATATATATCACTAAATAATAATCACAATCATTTATTTGACATGCCTTTGAAAATAAGATCAGGACCTCATTGTGGGAGAATTGGAACAGCAGGACTAAATGTGGTCAGTTTTTTTCTTAAATGAAACATTTTATGCCAGACTGCCTGTTTTAGCACATTTAAATGCATTAATGGGGATCCTTTTATAGCAGACAACTGTGCTTTGAATCCACATTTATCACTTTAATTTTCCAACCTTTCTGGCAGGCAATGATTCACACTCATTTCCATATGTAGGGGAAGACTTTAAACTCGCTTTAACTGCTGTCCGTTAAGACAGTTTACTGTGGTGTGTCGCCGTGATAATGCAACTTACAAGAGACTACTGATATGGTCTGTTGAGGTTAACTGAGGGTGTTCTGTCTGCACTGAAGGGCCCAACTGTTGTTCTTTTGGACAGTAATTACTGAAGCTGGGATTGGTTTGAAGTGTATGTGTGTGTGTGTG